TGCCCTGTCCTGGGGCATTCTTTACATACTCGAATTGCAGTTTCTGTGATTTTGGCCACTGGCTGCCCAACTCAACAGCATTTTCAAATTAGAAACAGGCTATGAAATGGCATAAGTGCCTTTGCAGCAAACTCCTTTACTATATTTTCAAGAAGCACCCAATTAATTGACATTTGGGCTCAACTGTATTTGACATGTGCTCGAAGGCATAACCAAACAACTATCTGCTAAATACGATGTACTTAAGCCGGACTAATGGCATAACCAAATGACGTATAAGCCAAATTCCAGGAAATGATAATGCTGCTGATAATGATGATGATGCTTTTAGGTAAAGTCTAATTTCCGATTATCATAAGTCAATCACATAACCCAGGCCAACCGCAAACGAGTGACAGCTGCATACTTGCGGCTGCTTCATCTAGTGCGGTATCTGTTGGTCTTACCTAATCATCATCTGTACGTCTTTGTGGTTAACTAACGCTTGTGTAAGTGCCTATGCATCAGTGTGTGTGTGTGTATGTCTGTATGAGCCAGTGAGGGTGTGGGCGTGGGAATGCTTGTGTTTGTGTCAGGCTGAGGTTTTATTCATCTGTCGAGCTCACACTGAACAGTATCACATTCAAATGGTATTAGTATCGGATTGTAACTAAGCTATATTGCATGGAGCTATTCGATTTTCTAGCAAAAGAAGGCAAGGTCTTTTTGTCAAACATAAAATTGGACATTAAAAAGCTCAACACAATAAAAGCTAATGCTAGAAAAATAATTGGAATAGTATTGACAGCATCGATGGTAAGCTGAAGAAGATCTCGATTGCGATATGAAATCTCTCCAATGAAAGCAATTCACAATTCAATTGTATTTCTAAGCATCTATAATTTTATATAAAGATAGAACTTGGTTTTACGAGTGTTCGTTAAACAACAATGATAACTATCAAAAGACCAGACCAGACCATACTTAATGTAATTCATTTTATTTGTATTATATTGAGTATTTTTCGTCTCAGCTGCTAATTGAGTGGCTGGCGAACAAATTGCATGAAATTGCAATAATAAATTTGAACTTCAGTCAAAGTTTACAGTCTTTGTGTGCACGTTGAAATGATTTCAATTCAGTAAATTAAATCAAGAAATGTCAAGCTCTCTCCTGAAGATACCCTGTAACAGTGAACTATGTGTGAGAGTGTTTAAACATTGACAGCAAATGATCAAAGTTTGTCTCAAAAGTCAAATTAAATTCCAGAACTTAGCTACAAGTAGCAAATCTCATTCTAGTTTCTGACTTTAATAAGGCATGATAACTTTTTTAATTGCAAAAAAAAGAAGAGTTCATAAATATTTATCTTTATATATATTTTGGGACACGGTCTTAGCTTAGCGTAGGATATAATAAGAGCTGATTAAATTCTGCAACGACTGCAAATTAAAGTGAAAACAATTTTAAGGGCGTCTACGCAAAATGCAAGCCAGACACATGCAATACCACTGGGTGCGGACAAAAGTTGATCCTTTGCCACACACTTACACTCACACACACATAAAGCCAAATAACCAGACAGCCACACACACACGTTCGTTCAAGTTTAACGCAAATAAATTGCGCATTCAGAGCAAAATTAACACAGAACGACAAGAACTGGGCGAGGCCGAGGGCAGGCTGGCAAAAAGCAAAAATAAAGAAGAAGAATGAGAATGAAAAAAATGGCGGGTAGTAGCATAACGAAGCTTAAACAGAGAAATATGTGAAAAACACAAATGCAAGAGAGCAGAAGTGGAAGAAGTAGAGAAAACGAATAAAAGCCGCAGCTATAGTCGTGGCCACAGCTAGCTAAAGTCATGCTCTGCCGGTGTCTGGCCTGGGTCAGTTTGGCCATGTTTTTTGCGCCAGCATCAGCAACAAAAGCCAAATGCATGCGAAAAGGAAGACGATTTCATAACTAATGTGGCAGCAGCGAGCTGCGGATGTCCGTTTGGGTAATCGAGCTGCTCCTTGATTGGAGTTCAGTTCTTGTCTCCCTTTTAATAACTGGTCCAAGCTCTTCGGGAACCGTAGACCCAGTCGCTACTTGCCTATGCAGGCAACGTTCAACTGACCCGAAAGTCGCGCATGGCATTCAAATTGACAGCATTAAAGGCGGCCATTTGGCTGGGGCCTGGCCGAGGCTGTCATAAATATGATAAGGGATTGCATAAACGTTAGCAGTCACTCTGCTGCCAGCTCCCCAATTCCGTGCTCTGGCTGTAGTATCTTAATTAATAAGTCAATGGCTGGCTGCTTAAGGCAGCTTACGAGGATGAGTTAGGGGAAAACTTCGGGCCATAAACAAAATAAATGAACATATTTTTAGGTACGCGCTGATATCAGCAATTTGTGTAGTCAAAACATACACTTCAGCAGCTAGTGGAAATACTTGTGTTCGAAGTACATGACTGGAAAATGCCCTGTTAAAAACATATAAAGAAGTATTATAAGTGGATTGAAAAAAGAAAATGTGTTTCATGAAATATTTTTTAATTTTAATAATTTTATTTTATATAATACAATTTTATATAATACAGAATACGATTATGTCTGCATGATACCCTATACAAACGCTGCGCACCTTTGCCCTATATTTATTTATAATCTTATAAAGTTATGTCACTTCGAAATAGCATAACTTAGGTGCCCCCTGGGCCCAGCAGCCATAGACATTGAAAAGCGCCAAGGAAATGGCGGCCATCGGTTAGAGCCTCAGTCTCAATTCGATTGCTCTTGCTGTAGTTGTTGCTGCTGCTGCTTAATTTTGTTATGAGCCCTATGCACATTTACGCCATTTCATAAAATTTTCATAATGGGCGCTCGTCCCTTATGTATGTGATGGTATGACGAAGTGTGTGTGTGGGTGTGTGTGCCGTCGAGCCAATGACTGACAACGTCGTTTCAGTTTTTATACCGTCATCGTCACGGGAACTGCTGCTGCCACACTGCGTCCCGTTGCCTGCTCTAATGGCGTAAATGTTCAATAAAGTGGCTTTTAGCGCTTTTGCACACACACACAAGCACACGGGCATACATGCACACTGACGCGCACATATAAACAGAAAAAGAAACAGCAAGCGACACGGCCTGGCCGGAAGGCAGAGCTCATGTGCTCAGTTTGGTTTGGCTCGTCAATGTTTCAGAATCTGCGCCTCATTCTGCTTTTAGGAGGCACTACACGCACTTTATGTGCTTTACCTTTTCAAATAAATTGAATGAGCATATTAATTTAATGCAACACTGTGCGAAGTCGTGAATAATGAATATAAAATGCTCCCAGTTAAGTGTTGCCTTCGATAATCACTTCACACTCATATCCCGTTTAGCTGAAATCTTTCGCTTACTGTTGAGAAAAGTTTTTTGAATATAATTTATAATAAAATATAATTTATTTGACGTCTGTTGCACTTACTCAGCTATCAAGAGATCTCACTATTATAGATGAAAGAGCTCTCCGTGTTTTCTTTTAGTATCTTAGCAGCGCATCTGGTCGTCGAGTATGCCAGGTTGTTGTGTCTCTTTGTTTATTTGTTGAGCTACGCATTTGAAAAACAATTAATTGCCAGCCGCTTGATTGCAAAATTTTGTCTGTGCTGAAATTTGTTTTGAATGTAAACACTCACATGGTCCAGACATGACCACAATTTTATGCTTTGACTGATGTGCGCCGCCTGCTCCAGGTCTCCAGCAACAGCTCCAGACGAGCATATGCTGCAGCTGCTGCTGCTGCTTCTGCTTCTGTTGCCCATTATTTTTAATGTATCGTCGTAGACATAGGAAAACATTCAAATTGCTACAATAGCCATGAGTTCATGTTTAATTAAAAACGCTGCCTATTGGCAGGCGACTGAAAGATCGCTCAATAAAAGCTTGCCACATGACGCACAGACAAGTTGATAAATGAAAAGGGGAACAAATTGCTACCCAACTATTTTCCAGCTAAAAGCTATAGTAAATAATTTATTTATTATTAAATTTTATAATCGAAAAGCACATAAATTGTGTTTTTTAAGTGCATAATGCTGGCAGCACATCCTGTCATCACAAACTTTGAGCGAACTTGGTAGAACTTTTCTCATTCCATTCAATTATTTTACTATTAGTTATTCGAACCGGCATAGCCTCACATAGATGCCTTCCAGCCACAGCTCCATCTGTAGTTTCAGCAACAACAGCTTCTCATATTTGCTCTTTCCATCTCCATGATTAATAAATGTCAACCGCAACATTACTGACACCTCTGCGGGGACAACAACCGCAACAACTGTGCGTAGTTTAGACAAAATATATTGTGGCTTTTTTGTTCAAAGAGCATCTCAGTTGAGGCTGCTTGTTAACCAAGCCTCGACTACACACTCTCACTACTCACACACATATACACATATACTCACTAAGTGCACTCTGCATGATACAAACGTACACAGCTCCTTTGTCGCACGCAGGTGACAAAAAATACACGTAAATATAATGGAAGCCCACCGCCTGGGGAAGACCAGTTGGTGGGTCGCTCGTCAAGTTGCACAACAATTTAACAGAAATTTGTCGAGCAGCGTTAAGCATACCAAGAGTAAATTTCAGCAGATGTACATAGCTTCCTATAAACGTGGTTTATATCAGGCATTTTTTTGCCTGAAAGAATGTTGTAACATGTAGAAGTTGTGACTATTGAAAGCAGCTTTAAGAACTTGTGAAAACAGTAATTTAAGGCAAATAGCTTAATGTTAAATTACTAAATGATATTTGCTAAAGATAAACACTTTGTTAGCTGTGTTTTAGACTTTTGCTCAAGAATTTATGGACGTACATTTAAATCAATATCTCAGCTTTACTCTCTACTCAGCTTAACTCGCACTGTGCGTGCGTTTGGTAAACTAATCTATTTGGAACATGCATACAATTTATCTTTAGACACACACACAACTTTGTTGCCAAAGTCAATTAATTAACACTTTATAACCCATATTTCATTCTAGAAAAACGCGTCAGCTTTTGGCCCAGCCTAGAAACCCAAAACAAAATCCAATCAGGTCCACAAAATTTCCGCAACATCAAAGGCACGAAATTCTGTTTTAGTCAAGCTCAACCTTGAAACTAAATGAAGCCTGTGTGTGGAACTGTACCAAATACCGCAACGCTGGATCTTAGACGACGGCCACAAATTAGCCAGCCTGCCGTAGACTTGCAAGTTTGAAATAATACGAATTCAGCTTCAGCTTCAGCTACAGCTACAGCTTAGCTTCAGGCCCAACAAAAGCTGAACTGAGTTGTCTTGCCCGTCAAAAGCAAAGCAAAGGCAAAAGTTCAATCCATAAAAGCCGCAGGCTGAACAGCTAGCTGAGAGCAACGCGTGCTATTTTTTTGAGAGCGCCAAAGGATTCATTAAAAAACCGCCAACCTGGAACTAATGGAATTAGAGAATATTGTGGCCAATACGGTCTACTTAAAAGCGAGAGAAGGTGAGTGTATATTCCCACAGACAACAAAGCCATCAAGCAAACTGCCCGAAAACTACTGACGAAACATACCAAAGGCCGCTCTTAGGCATCAAATCCTTTGAGGGACACAGTACGCGTGCTGAAGTGGTTTTGTGTTGGCACCTTGTCTCGTCTGGAGGTCGACAAGAGAGCCAGCATCGATTTTTCTTTGGCTCTGATTTTCAGGGCGGGTGTTAATTGTAGTACAGTGCCATTCGCCCCACACCCCGCAACTTTTTGGGTGGCTCGAGTGGACCGAGTCTTGTAGTATGGCGCCTGGCACTGCGCTTTATCTAAAGTTAATGAAGCGTTAAATGTTTGCGCTCCAGCAACTTATTCATTTTCATGCTTCACGTTACAGCTTTAAGTGCTCTATTTGACTCAGTACTCGCTACTGGCTGATACTTGCGCATTCTGTTATCGAGGTCACACTTCAATTGCTGGGCATCCCATGACCAGCCAGCAGTCAAGTTCAGTGCCATTCACTCGGCTCGTCTTATATAAAACAAACGCAAAGCCAACATTTTCTGAGGAAAATATTGCAAAATTATGCAGAACGGTTCTTGGAATATTTAAAGTGTCTGAAGGTCACCTTCACCTTCAGCTGAGTGTGGACTGCTTAAGGAGAGGATGGTGATTTTATGGATAGAAAAATGTATACCCTTACTGATTGCATGCATGATGATTGCTAATGACTGCACACATTAAAGATTCACTTAAATTACAGCAACAACAACCATAGCAACAGCAACAACAGGCAATCGCTTATGATTCGCTTTTCTCAAGTAAATATATCAATATTTTGTACTCTTGCTCATGTTCGGGCTGTCGCAGCTGAGCAAAACGCAACTCAAATATAAGCAGCGAATCGAGCGGACTTCGGAATGTATCCATCAGATACATTTGCACGCCGCTCAACAGATTTCAATGATAGAAACGTGCACGGAATTTCAATTTGTCTAGTTATGTAATATTTGAGAACATTTCGTTGATATGAAGGGGCTGTGCTAGACCAGGAGCTACAGCAAAGGCAGCGCGAGAGTGGGAGAGAGTGAGCGAAAGAGGAGAGAGAGAGAGACGCGACAATAAAATACTGAGAAAATATAAATTTGCAATAGATTTAACAAGCCAAAAAGTGAATTTTTTATTTGAATTTGAAGGCAGCGGCAACAGCAGCGCAACGTCAGCAATGGCCGATGGCTCTAACAGCAAACTCGTTTTTGGCCAAAAAGTTTTATTTTCTTTTGGACCTTTTGATGTTATCTTGGAAAAGTTCTAACAGCGTTTTTCACTTCTGCTTTTTTATTTAAAGCCATCATGCCTCACAACTTATTTATTTTTACTTTTTGTTGCCAAAGTCAAACTTGGGCTAGGAGGACTGAAAAGGAGAAGAGAAAACATACTAAAGAGTTGATTAACTGTTAATCAATCAGTATATATTAAAAAGTTAGACAAAACGTGACAGACGGAATGACGCAGGCTGCTCAATAACGAATACTTAAGATATTTAACAGACTTCAGCTGGTTCGCAATATTTGCATAGATTTTCAGAAGTTGAAATAAAAATAAGAATTATTTGGAAATAATTGCAGTTGTATTACTGAAATCAATTAAGTGGCTATAGAATTGTCGACAGATCTTTATGTTTTTATTGCACTTCGTTTTGCAACCCGAAAGCTTATTAAAGCTTACGCATCTTCTATAGAGAAAGTCGCTTTAGAAGCACTTTTCTACTCTGTTTACTGTTAGTCTCTAAGCTTCGATGTCTTCCTTTGTTTTAATGCAAAAAAATTATGCTTGCATTTGAATTTTTTTCTGCATTTTAGTTGGGTTTTTCTACTTTTTCTTTTGCATTAAGAAATGTGAATGCATTAAAATGAACGCAGTGAACAACGAGAGAAAAGACGTCGCCTTCGATGGCATAAATTTTGCCTTAATGTGCTGCCATAACGTTGATTATATCAGAGTGAAAAAGCGAGAGTAAGGAAGAAAGACATTTAAGACGCAAAATAACTGCTTAAGCGGAATCAAGTTAGACAGAGAGAGAGAGAGAGATAGGGAGAGCGAGTGTGGGGAAACGCATTTAAATTGGTGTCCGCTGGCAGCATAAAAGTGCATAAATTATCAAATGATGGCGCAATTGCAACCTCAGGGAAATCGACAATCACATATCACACTAAACTAGTTGATGTAAGCTCTGTAAAGGCTATTGGAGCTTGCATTTCTCTGCTTAATTTGATGTAAATATTTGGCTAATGCTAAGGCAAATATTCGTGACGTTGAATGCATCCTGTTGGGGCAGCCTTGCGTTTCTGCTTTGCCCTGCACTCAGTTGACGGCGCCCACTTGAGCTGTGCATCAGAGTCAAGCCGGCTGGTTCAATGACCGCTGGTCAAGTCAACAACTTGCGTCGGCTGTTGGCTGGCTGACTGCCGCGCTGCTTTACAATACACGCCAATTCATTTCAAGTGGGTGTTCGTGTGAGTGTTTGTGTGCTTTGTTGTTGTAGCTGTTGCCATTGTACACTTTTTATCAGGCTAACAAGCCTTTAGTTATGTTGTATGCTAAGCAGCTAAAAAAACCAGTTGTTAATTATCGCACGCAATACAATGCAACAAAAGCCGCTGGCGCGGAGGCGTTTCGTGTACCATGTCCAAGTCGTTTCTAGTGCCTAGTCTGTGTGTGTGTGTCTGTCTGTTGTGGCAGTTCTAGTTGGGCGCACATTTAAAGCCCGCTAATTACTTGTAACTCTCTATCGGTCAGCCAGTGTTTCAGTCTGTCAGTCAAGCAGCCCGTTTAATATTTCAGTTAGCATAGGCAACTAATCAAGAAGTGCGATTCCTGTTTTGCCGGCAGCATGTCCCGGTCATGTAACTGGGATCACGCAGTCCTGTGGGTGCCACGCATTGCGGTTTCTGGTGACTGCTTATCTGCAGTTGCAGCACGTAGTAAGCCGCACGGTGCATATGCAGCAAGTGTCGTTGCAGTTGCTGCTACAGCCCAATCACTGAATATGTGATTGCAATCAAAGCGACTGTTGTTTGCAAATCAGAGTGAGAGCGAGAGAGAGACTCGTTGATTGCCACCGAATGTCATCAGAGTGTGGCACACTAGAAATCCATTTAATTATATGCAAAACGCTGCCAATAAAACAGAATTTTACAATCAAAGAGATCTGAACATGCTGTAGTACAGTGAGTGATGTATTTCCGCTGACGGACAACATTTCATTGTCTCTATTCATTAGCACATGGCGAGATCAAAACGTTTTCAACGCGCCACAAAATATACTCTGCAATGGGATTGAAAGACGCTAAGTAATTCAACTTGATTGCCAGCTGGCATAATATACATTTGTTCTATTTTATGCAAAAATTTAAATCAAAATAAATGTGAGAGTATTTTACAGTCAGCTGTGGCTGCACAGCTTGTTTTTATTGGCATCACTTTAGAACTTCAAGAGATTGTCGTTTAAACCGGTAGCCTCTTAGCAGTTGTTGTTGATGCCAGCTCTTGTACTTGAGACTTGAGACTGAAGCCCGGAGACCTGAGACCGGAGACGCGCTGTTTGTGTTTTTTTATTGTATTTATACTTTTGTTGACGTAGGCAAATATTAAATACTAATACGTTGGCCCCCAAACACTGGAAATATGTTTTTGTAGTGACGCGCTGCTGCGTCAGCAAATGAATATTTAATCGACATATTTAATCTGCTGCCCATGGCGTATACGTAATCTTCGACTTATGAATATTAACTAGCGTCTCAAGCTGATCATAGAACTGGTTTTGTAATATTATCAAATGCTTGCGTATGTAGGTTATCTGCTGCTTTTAGGAATAATACTAATAACTATATACATCTGTTTTTATAGCCCGACATTTAATTCTGCTGCCTCTTGTGTTTGCTTTCGCTTGTCACTCAATTATTGATTGTAATAAATTTCTGCTGTTCGCAGTTGTCGCGTTCGCTGCTTTTAAATTTAATTATTGGCAACGCTTGACATTCGAGTGTCATGTTTGTGAGTGTGTGTGATATTCAAGCGCATTGCTTGAATGTATGTAATTGCATGCATTGCCCGTTAATAAAAGTGTTTATTTTTGGCATCGACATAATGTAAATTGCGTGTATTGTGTGACTTTTGAGTGAGTGGAGAGTAAAATAATTATAATTTTGATCAGTATAAATCATTTATAATCATGACATATTTTAAGTGTAAACTTTATCGCAGGCAAATTTCATGCCATTTAAAGTGCTCGCTCGGCCAAAGCAACGGCTTAATTAATATCCAAAAATAATATTAACAATCGCATTTAAATTCCTTTTAATTCACTTAAATAATATACAGATTCGCTCATTAATAGCATTTGCAAATTTCCAATTATGGCAATAATTTGCATTTTTCATAGTTTTAACATCTGGTTTATGCTAAAAGAAAACAAGTTTTCATTTTGGCGAATTACCTGCTACCGAGTAGAAATTCATTTCACAGTCAACTAATTAATTCCGTTAGTTTAGCGCGTTATTATGCAATAAGGTGTACAAACGAATTTTAATAATTGTGCGCACGTAATGGCGTGTGCTGTTCACAATAAATGCAGGTACACATAGGTACGCATATATTGAAAAATATTCAATACACACGCTTATTGGGGCAACAAAAGATGCCGCAGTGGTTGGAGCTGCTGTTGTTGCTGTTGCAGTAGATAAGCAATTGGAATTATGCACAATTTACTCTGGACGAGCCGCCGGGCCATAAATTTCAACTTTATCGATTGTTTTGACAATTAACTTTTTATATTCTGTATTATTTATGTGAGGGTAGCAAAACAAAAACATTTCATTTGGTGGTGTGGTGGCCGTGGCCCAGGTTATGAGATGTTTATGTTTTTGCTTCGAAATTGATTTGGATTTAATGTGTTAAAATTGCGCCGCCAGAACACAGAAAAGTCACAAGGTGATATAGCAGTTTTCGACTAGGTA